AGTCAGGTGTGCTGGTGTTCTCAGAGGGTGCACATGCACTCCTGTGCACCCCCTATGCATTGCCACTGGGGACAAGTCAGTGGCGCTGATCCAAATTGAGGTTTCACTAGATGAGGTTGTAAAGGAAATTGATATACTAAACAGTAGAAAATCACCAGGACCAGATAGCATTCATCCTAGGGTCCTGAAGAAGCTCAGATTGGAAATTGCCAAGCAGTATGCAACCCATCACTAAAAACAGCCGTGGTACCAGGGGACAAAAGGGGTGCCAACGTGACACTAATATTTCAAAAAGTCTGTAGAGTGTCTGCAGGGAACTAGAGGCCAGTAAGTCTAACTTCTGTTCCTGGAAACTTGGTAGAAACAATAATAAAAAAGAGTTCTACAGCACATGGATAAATATGACTTGCTGGGGAGGAATCAACATGACTTTGTCAAAGGAAAATCATACCTCACCAACCTTGTACAGTTCTTTGAGAGTGTCAATAAGCAGGTAGATCATGGCAGTCCAGTTGACATAGTATATTTGGACTTCCAAAAAGCCTTTGATAAGGTCTCCTATTGAAGGCTCCTACCTAAATTAGGTGGTCATGGGATTACGCGGAATGTCCACTCATTGATTAGAAATTAGCTTCAAGAAAGAAAGCAAAGTGTGAGTATAAATAGGGATCTACAGAAATTGTAGTGGAAGTTTGTAGTGCAGCAGCACCTTTAATCTCATTCTTTTTCCTGCGCATTCCCCCCTGCCTCTGAGTGGCTGACAGGCAGTTAATGCTGTGGTGTTTGCCTTTCAGCTACTCAGTGTGGGGGGGAGAGAAGGGAAGGAATGGGGGTTCAGGGCTCTTGGTGAAAAGAGCGAAACTAAAGGCGCCACTGTGCCATGAACTTCTGCCACCATTTAGATAGGTCCTCAAGTATAAATGGTTGGTTTTCAGCATGGAAAGAAGTAAACAGAGGGATTGCCCAGGGATCTGTGTTGGAACTGGTGCTGTTTAACATATTCATAATTGTTCTGGAAAAGGGGGTAAGTAGCGAGTGGCTAAATTTGTACATGACAAAAAATTATTCAAAGTGGTAAAGACCAAGACAGATTATGAGGAACTACAGAAGAATCTGGCATGATTGAGCGAATGAGCAACTAAATGGCAGATGAAATTCAATGTAGGCAAGTGTAAAGTGATTTTCCTGTGCAGAAATAACCCAAGCTATACTAACACTACAGCTAGGGACAGAAGTTACACATAAACTGGTTTAAGTGATCAGAAACTGCTTTAAAACTATAACAGAACAGAAGCTCAGTGCACATAAACCAGTTTCAAAATGGCTGAAACTGGTTTAAGATAAACCTGGTTGAATGTAGTATCAGACTTAACTGATTTAGGTCAAACAGGTTTATGAAAATTGTGTCCCAGATCCCTTTCCTGGTGCAAGTTAAATCAGAGTCCCCCAGCCCTGGGCTGGGCTGTAGTGTTTGCTCCAGAGAACAGGGTTGGCCCCATCCCCCTGCTCCTTAGAGCAGTGAGGGCTGACTGACAAGGGAGTGAGGATGGGAAGCCCAGCTGGGGACCACAACTGGGTCCTTTGATGACATGTAGGGGGTGCACATGGGTGCACCTGCATCCCTGGAAGCACCAGCCATGAAACTGGAAGTGCCGTTCCGGTTTTGCCACTCCTGGTTTCAGGCTCAGCAATCGGCTGCTAGGACACCTCCACGTTGGCAATCTGGTGCCTCCCCAGACTGGGAGGTACCAGTCATCCATGGCTGGGTCGGCCTGGGTTGGGGAGGGCAGCCTCTGCCAGGCTGTTCCCTGCTCAACACTGGAACAGAGGGGGCAGGGGGTGGAAACAGCCTGAGAAGGACTGCCAGCACACAGGGGACTAGCAGGAGACCAGCAGACTCTACCCCTTCCCACCTCTGACAGAGACTGAAGCAAGCAGTTGATAAGGGGAGGGGGGAGAGGGTGTAATTCCCCTCAGCACCCCCAGGCCATGGGGGAGAAGGAAGAGGCTGGGCAACGAAGGCTGGAGGGACTGGTCCCCTGCCACCTGTGCCACCTGGCCCTGCAGGACCAGACTGAGAGTTGGGAGGTGTTGGCAAAGACTTGGCACAATCATCACATGTGTGTGCTGGAGACATAGCTAAAGGAACAGGAGAGGGTCCCAGACTGCTTGGGCTGGTGGGGCCAAAGAAACCAGACAACTACATTTATATTATAAAGCAGAACCTGTAAAAGGTGGGAGACTGGAATACCCAAGACGAGACAAAAGACATTGAATGCATGAGAGTCCTGCCAAAGGTGCTACAGGTGACAAGCATACTAATGTCAAGGCACCCAAGGGGGAGAAGGGGGTGCAAGTGCCCCTATAAAAACCCAAGTAGAGATGAGGCCTGTGGGATCTCCAGTCCAACATCTAAGATCCCCTGCTGATTCCCCAAGAAGGACTTTCTGAATACCTGGCTGTAAGGAGACACTCTGCCCTCAGGATTATGTAAGACTTATGCAAGGCTTTCTCTTGTCTTTGTGGTTTATTACAGTCCATTTTAAGTTAGACGAAGTTGTGTGTGCTCTCACTGTGTTTTACTGGGCTGTATCTTAGCAGAGGGGAAGAATTTTGGTTGCTCTTTGTTGTATGCTTGAGGTTGCAAATTGCCGTCTTCAATACATGCTTGCTTCAGAGAAAGGACTATTCTTGTTCAAGCTTTTATGAATTCATTGCCAATACTTTTTTTCCCACCCGCCCACTCCTCAGCCTGGCAGGTGCTGCCCCCCCAAGCAGACCCAGCCAGGGAGGGGATTTAAACCTCCACCGTGCCGGTGTTAGCCCAGGGCTGGTGCCTGGCCACGCCCCCTCTCCTGGAGCAGGGTGGTGCGGAAAGACTTGGAGCTTCAGTCCCTTCCCTTTGGCAGTGTTTGGCAGGGTGGCAAACATGCTATAGTGCCCCCTGGCTTCTGGCCTGGACCACTGCAGGCATGTGGCTGCATTTCCTGAAGCAAAAGTGAATGTCTGTTCACTTCCTTCTCAGTTTAATCTCTGCAGTTTAGACTAATGTGTAAAAACAGCCTCAGGCTTTTTGACTGTCTGTATTTAGCCTATGATAGGCTCTACATTAACTGTGTGTCGGTGCCACACATTCAGCATGCCTGGTCTGAGCTTCATCTTACACCCATGTCTGGTTACCACGCAGGAAAGAGAACTGGGAGTCATTGTAAACAGTTTGCTAAAAGCATCAGCTCAGTGCTCAGCAGATATCATAAAAGCAGACAAAATGTTAAGAATTATTAGAGAACTGTAAACACAAGGGAAAGTATCATCATGCCCATTTATAAATCCATGGTGTGTCCACACCTTTAATACTGTGCCACTTCTGGTCCCCACACCTCAAAAAAGATATAGAAGAACTAGAGAAGGTACAGAGAAGGGCAAGAAGGATGATTACCAGCATGAAAGAGCTTCCATATGAGGAGAAACTAGAGGCTAGGCTTAGATACTTGACGACATGATAAGGCTTCACAAGAAAAAGTAAATAGGGATTAATTATTTACTCTCTCTGACAAGAACTAGGGGTCAAAAAATGAAACTAGTAGGTAGTAAATGTATAACTAATAAAAGGAAGTTCTCTTTCACACAGCATGTAATTAAAAGTGTAGAACTTATTGCTGCCAGATGTAGAAGCTGACAGCTTAGCCAGATTTGAAAGGAGACTGGACAAACTCTTGGAGGAAAGGGGCATTTGAGAACAGGAGTTAGATATACAGCCTCTGAATTAGAACTTCCTAGACCTTAAATGCTGGAGGCTGCAAGTGAAAGGAAGAGTAGAAAAAAACCCTGGTCATACCCAGTTCACTCTCCCTTTCAGCATTCCCTCTTTGCCACTATGTAACACAGAATAAAGACATTCTTATGTTTTTAACATGCAATAAAAACAAACTCCCCAGACAATGCCTCCAAGCTTAACACTGCTTGCTGAAGGCCAGCCCAAATAAAAAGACCTCAAAGTTTTTGGAAGATGCCCAGGCTAAGACTCTGACAGACCACAAGTAGGAGGGAGTTCCAGGCTCGAAGAGCCACTATTGAGAACAACCTCTTAGGTTTTTGCCCAACAAACTTGGTGCACTGATGGTACTTGGAGAAGGCTGCTCTTGGATGATCTTGGGGATCATAATAGAACAATAAAAAGGCAGCCCTTTACGTATGTAGGGCTCAGATTGGTTAAGACTTTAAGGTCAAAACCAGCACCTTGAATTATGCCTGGAAAGCTATCAGATATTAGATAGGACTTATTTGTTGTAGCAAATTACCATTCAGACTGGTTTCCTTGAATTGAACCCCCTTAGGGCATTTGTACATATACCTTTTTGCCTCACGATCCACTGGAGATCCGGCAGGTTGGAGTGGATTTGATTAATCGAGTCTGCTCCGCATGCAAGCTGACATGCACTGCACCGCATGCAGTTGTACAAGTGGTGAAATGCACGTCAGTGTGCAGAAAATGGCGGCAGTGCATTTTTGAACTAAAACACCTCTAATGCGTTTTAGTTCAAAAGCGTGCCGCCGCCATTTTCTCAGCACTGATGTGCATTTCACATGTTTGCTCCACTGAAATCAGTAGAGACCCAGCCAGGGAGGGGATTTAAATCCCCACCCTCCAGGTGTTAGCCCAGGTATAAACAACTGCAGCACAAACTTGTGTACAAATGCCCTAACAGAAGTACTTTCTTGTACAACTGTTCTGAAATCACCAGCACTGAGGTTTTTTTCCCTGACAGGATAGCAGTAATGAAAACTTAAGAAGTGGATGTCACAATTCATACATCGAGATTGAGTAGCATTTTATCATTTTGGAGACTGAGTTATATTCCTTCAAATGTAGCAGTGCTTAACAGTAGTATCTACAATCCACTTATTTTTGCCATTACATTTATGCCCTATACTCTATGTTTTCCTTATGCTCTGGTTGTGCACATCTCTAGTGTTATTTAAATTGAGGTTTGACATACCTGCAACTCAATCCTGTCTTCTAGTTGCAAAGTCTTCAAAGCTTCTATATTATGTGTGAGCTTGTAGTTAATAGACACAAAACCCAGCTTCTGAATAAAGCTCAGCTCCTCTGTAATCTGTTTTGTTAGCACAAAATATATATCAGTTGTATGCTGTGCATCTTAATATGGACTATGCAGTGGGTAATCGAAGTTAGGATTGCCATGATATTAGGGAAAACATTCCAAAATAAAGATACTGTGTAGCATTTGCAGAGGTCATAACACAATATGGTTTCTGGCTTATTATTTTTTAACTTGGAACTGTAGTAGTGATTGTGCTGTATAAAGTAAACATATTTGAAAATTATTAAGAGCTTTGCTACAGCTTTGGAATGATCCAGTATTCCCAACTCCAATTTCAAATGCATTGGTAGAAGGGATATTTGCAGTCTGAAAGTTTGAATAACTGGACTGGCAGCTGTGAGGCTGAGGGTAAAGCCCATCCCTATGGCCCCTGAAGTGAGCTGAGAGTCATTCCAGAATTTCTGGTGTTGGGCCTCAGGGCCTGACCATAAGCTCATTAAAATGAACAGAAAAACTTCTCAATTTACATCATGTCCTTAAAGCACCCAGTCTGTTCTAAGAACCTGGATTCTTAACACAGTTGGGATGTTGTGGTCTTTTGAATGGTCTCATGCTAGTCTTTACTCTCTTTAGTCTCCAGGGACTCTCTTTTTTTTTTTTTTTTTTTTTTTTAACTGTGGCCTGAGAAAATAAGCCCATGATGAATCTGTGAACACATCCTTCATACTTCTGAGGCCCTTTCTTTCAGCAATTGTAAAGGATAAACTAATGATCACACATGATTCTAATCTTTACTTTGCCAAGTCATACTGTGAAGACACTTACTTTCGTGCTGTCCGCACTGAATTGAACCAGTCTTTTATACAGGTCACCCTTTTGTTCCAAAGTCGCATCCACTAGCATCCTTGCTGGAAAGCCAAGGTCAGTGGCTCCTTGGATGTTATGAGTTAACAGTGCATCTAGTTCTTGTTTGTTCTATAAACAATTTAAAACATACAAAAGTGCAAAAACATGCCAATTTTCTGCCTTCAAATAAAAAACCTTGCATCTTGTGGCTGCACAGAGACCAAAAAGAGCTGCAGTAAAATTTTGGTGAAAATGAGAAATAATTTCATTGAAGCTAATGGAGGTTTTACAACAGGATAAAAAAAAGGCAGAGAAGAGATTCAGGGCCAATGGCTCAGAAATACGATAGGAAAGAAATGCATACAAAGGAAAAATGGAAAGGGCCTTTTGTATTGCACTGCGGTGTTCTCTTCCCCTCACCCCCCACTTACTCTGCAGTATACAGAGGAGCAGGGAATATTCCTTCCTAGTGGAAGGCACCTCTATATTCACCCTTCTGTCTAGCAATATGTGGCAACAAAAAAAAGCCAGGCCTTATATTGGCAAAAGGAAGGTTGTCCATGGCCTCCATAATTTACCTAGCAACTGAAGAAACAAAATAGCACTGACTGGAAGAAACACTGCCCTAATCAAGTTGCACCATAAATCACAGCAGTCACTCTATTAATCACAGGCTTTTACTCTTCCTATCACGGGCAGTGCTATAGACTTTTACAATGATTAAATGACATCACAGTAGGGGAAAGTGCATCTGGGCGGTGGTTAGTGCCTGTATCTTTGCACTTAATATTGTATTTACTGTCAGAATAAAGTAAGAACACAAATAGTGTAATATAAAAACCCATATATGCATTCAAAGAACATAACAGGAAAGTGATTTATGAAGCTTGCAGTGGGCTTTATTATATTACATAAAGCATCTGATTTCTCATGCATTTTCAAATACTTGAGTTGTATGCTGCACTCTAATATTGCTTCAAATTGCAGCTTTCTTCATAGATTAGCAACTGTTACAAAACAAAATTGCAGCCTACCTACTGGTTCTCTTTAGTATTAAAATAATAGTTTTCAATATGAGTCACCCTCTGCTCCCACATTATTTCAATAAGCAGCATAATACTTACATCAGTGGCTTTCAGTGTAAGAAGCCCTTGTAATGTACTTTCATCAACAACGATGAGCATTTGTGAATCCAGGTTCATTCCATCTATCAGGACATAACCTGAACCATTGATTTTTATTGGACTCCCAAGATCCTGCAATAATTAAAACAAACTCTTTGAAAAGGGCCTTTTTGCCATATGTTTTAGGCTTATATACTTTTCCCCCCTAATATGTGGTCTCTGCAGCATCTGGCTGTAAAACTAGGAAATCAGACAGCGTGACTGCACAGTCTGTGGTAAAATCTTGGTAACAGTCAAAAACAGCAGCAGAAGCCCAACCAAACAATACTTCCTGCTGAGGGGACAGAGATATGACAAAATGTAAAAGATATTTGCCTTATCTCCCTGAAAATAAGCCCATATTTTATTTGATCTTTACTGCATTGTTTTTTATGCGATTTCCAGAGCCAATTCTAGAAAGGCCTGGCTCCATTTAGGTCTGGAAAGCAGCTGATTGTTTCAAGTGAGTCTTGGTGTCAGCAGAGTCCATCAGGATAAATGTGACAAAACCTGTTTTTGTCAGAAGTTAACAATTTGTCAAAATGTGGCCATTTTACAGAAACAGTTTGATTTGGAGGAAGTTCCTCGGAAGCCAGGCAGGATCCCAATTCCTGGCAACTCAGCCACTAGACTTGGCAGTTGCTTCTGAGTCAGGGACTCCAGGCGCCAATACTATCACGTAACACGGTCTTTCAGCAGAATTCTTTGGAGTCTGGGACCCCAGAGTTTCTGAGGTCTGTAGCTGTGGTACTGCCTGCCAGCCAGACTGACCTGAACACAGGGCTTGAGTCCCATCCAGGGAATGTTTAAATTATTTGATTTTCATTCAGAATAGGTACAAGACTACTGAAGCCCTCCACAAAACGTAGTTATTTACTCCATGCTGCTTAACCCTATTCCTGTCTGCTAGTTAGGTTTTCTTAAACAAACACTTTTATTTATTTCTTATGAAGGTGCCCTGGGTTGCTACTTCACACTGATCACAGCTTCTGGGGACCATTCAGTAGCAGAACCTAAACCCAGATGGACCAGCTCAAGTAATATAGTTAGCAAAACAGCAGGTGTTGTCAGCCGTGAAGCCAGTCAGCCACAGGGTGAACTGAGGACCCTCAGCAGAGAAGTGCAGCCCTGGCGCTTGAGAAGGTGCTTACGGAGTGCAGGCTCACATGCAACTCAAACCAGCACTTTGGCAATGGCCTACCCCTTTTTTTGCTCCTCTTCCAGCAATTTTCAGAATATTTCTTATCTTAAATACCCCAGAAAGTAACACTAGGGTTGTGCGAAATTTCGACGGCCGTTTCGTATCAATGCTGTTTTGACTCATTTCGAGGTTGAAACAGCAAAATCGAAATGAAACAAAGGCTGTCAAAATAGCCTCAAAACAAAACGAGGCTCGTCGAAACATTTCAACCATAGTGCTGGGGATGGGAAGTCAGTCCAGCTTCCCATCCCCAGCACAAGATCTGGCAGGGGGCAGAGAGGCAGCCCAGTTGGCGTGGGGGATGGGGCAGGGGATGGGGATAGCATGGGGGATGGCAGCCCACATGGGCTGCTTTCCCACCCTCTGATCTAGTGTGGGGAACAGAGAGGCAGCCCAGCTGGGCTGCTTTCCTGTCCACCCCACCATCTAGCACGGGGAATGGAAAGGCAGCCACCTGGGCTGCTTTCCCACCCTCTGATCTAGTGTCGGGGACGGGGAGGCAGCCCAGCTGGCCTGCTTTCCTGCCCACCCCACCATCTAGCACGGGGAATGGAGAGGCAGCCACCTGGGCTGCTTTCCCGCACCCCTGCAATCTAGCACGTGGGGGTGGTGAGGCAGCCCAGCTGGCCTGCCTTCCTACCCCAGGCATGATCTGGGAAGTCAGCCCAGCTGGGCTGAGTTCCTTTCCCCAGCCGCATGGTCCCGTGAAACTGTTGAAACAGGGTCAAAACAGCCTCACTGTTTCAATGAAGCTAAACAGTGTGGCTGTTTTGACTCTAAATCATATTTAATACAAAACACTTCCATCCAGACCTCAAAACTGAAGTTGGAATGGAACAGTGCCATTTTGCACAGTCCTAGGTAACACCTGCTGGCCTGGCTGGGGCAGACTTTTTTTAGTCAATATTTCAATATTTAAGGTTGGGGTTGTTTGGGGGGGTGGTTTATTAACTTGGAGCCCATTCACAACATCAGTTTTCTATCAAGAGGAATGGACATTTCTATAGCTAAAGATCATCTCTTTGTATTGTATTTATATTTGGCTGCCCTGAGCTGCTAGGAGGTTTTTCAAAGTCTCAGCATTTGAATTTCAGAAGTACTGAGCAATCCCAACTCCAGCTGAAGCCAAAAGGAGCCGTGAGCAGTCAATCCCACTACAAATCAAGCCCTAGGTACTTTAACCACTGCCCCCTAGCAAACAAGAACAAGGGAGTTTATAGTAACCAGTATGAGCCATACTATGCCATTAACTTTGCAATGGCATTGACCTTGGGGTGTAAGATGAATTTGACCCTATGCCATATAAAAGTGCTGCTACAGTGCTTTTGGTTCCAAGTCCAAGACAGATTTATATAGAATGTGTCTTTACACATAAGGAGTGTAGAGCCCCTAAGACCTATTTTTGCTAACTCTCTAGATTTCTTTAATAGTCAGTTCCTGGCTCTATTCCCACAAATTCATCAGCAAATTCTCTGCTGATTTCAGTGGAGCAGTACTGAGGCCTCTGGTCAGAACAAGCTGCAAAGGGGTAAAGCAGATTTCTTTCTACATCTTTTACATTCCAGGCAGTACCTGCATTGGTTTGCATTTGTTTTCCATGAGAATTTTCCACTGAAGTTTGTTTTCAACTTGCAGGTCCCCATTGGCTTGAAGCTCGCAAGAGCCCGATTCCAGTTTTATGCCAATATCATACTTTAACTGTTTGCCTGCCATGATGGACAACTTGTTTTCTCCTGGGATTTCCTTAAGATGAGGCAGTTCATGTCTGAATTCAATTTCCAGGGTGACCTTTGGCTGGCACTCTATTCTCACTTCCAGACAGGCTGATTTGCCATCTGTTTTGAGGTCACAGAGCAGTTCTGCTTGGCAGCCATCCCTCTGAATATATCCAGTGAGCTGTGACTGAGCTGGAGTGCCGAGTTTCTACCAAAAGACAAAATATCCTTTCAGATTAGAAATCTATAGTAAGATTAGAGGGTTCTTTTTTCCTCCTACCCATGAGAAGTGAGACGGTCACATTACAAATTCAGGGACAAAGCCTGAATCTTTATTCAACTGTTTGTTCAGGTAAAACTCCCATTCGAGTCAGTGAACTGGGAGTGTTGCCCAAATAAAATCTGAGAAAAGACCTAGGAATTTGTACTCTAGAATCTACAGTTTCTTTACACATAACAAATATCTTGAAATTACAAAGCTATATACTTCCTACCTTTTGAGGCTAGTAAAGTTTGCCGACCCTGTTTTATTCAGGGATGAGCAATTCTGAATTTGGACAATACACTAATCTGCATATAAAGTACGTAATAGATGTTCTTTGTAGGTAATTTTTAGTGTAAGCTGACTGAAAAATAGAAAACTGATTTTGCAAAAAATTCTACAATTTTAAGTGTTGCTTTGTAGGGCTCAAAATGGAATATTTTCCCAGGTTTTCAAAATCACTCCTGAAAATATTGTTTTCTAAATGTAATATTTTGAATGTCTTTTTTTCTCTCCTTTCTGCCACAGAAGGCAAAACAATAAGCTTGCCATTTATTCTTGGGTAGTATTTTCTTTTGCCACTTGGCAACTTTTAAAAAGTTAAAGTAAACTCTTTAGAAAAAAATAGGGACAAAAATTAATGGAAACTAAATAATCTTCTAAAGCATTCTTTCCATAATATACTTAGTGGAGATAATAGAGAAAAAAAATATGAAATTTCAAAATTTTCCAGTTTCAAGGAAAAACATTGCCTTTTTTTTCTTTTAAAGAGAAATAAAAGTTTAGCCCAGTTGTACTGGAACATGACATTCAAACTGTGCCAGAGAAACAAGTGGCAATAGCTTTAATTAGGATCACCTGTATGGAACAACCAGTAACATCAGAGACCAGTGCCTCATGCTAATCCTGTATTTGAAGACTGAGGTATGCTTGTACACACTTTCAGAGAAATTTGTACAACAGCCATCTACACTGTACTCTAGCAAAACCCCTCCTCTTCTATTTCATATAGATTTCTTTAAAAGCCACAGAGATACCTGCAGATGCTGGCAGTCTGTTTCTGTCTCCAGAGTCCATTCAGTTTTATTCTGGGTCTGGAGATCTCCTCTAGCCTTGAACTTGCATTCACCAATCTGTAGTGATAAAATGCCTTCCATCATAGAGCTCTTGGCTACAGAAAGTTGAGCAGAGTTTTCAGCAGGCAGCCCTAGGTCACCAAGCCAGTCAACTGAATGCCTCAGCATTCCTCCAAGTGTGTACTTCTGTCCATAGGAGCTCTCTACTTGTGCATAAGCTGTTTTCCTGTCACACTGGAGGTTTACTGTCAAGCTGACATTGCAGGTATTCACAGTGAGTGAGCCCTCAGTGACTAGGGTTTGGGGTAATCCCACTTTCTGTGACAAAAGAAAAGAAGCTGTTTCAAACAAACACAAACAAATATGCTTGCAGAGCATCTATCCTTATAATCTGTTTCTAATTAGCAATAAGGCATTTCTCCCTTCTGGACCAGCAAGCTTACAGATGGAACCATTTTAGATGGCTTTTTCCATGTAGTATTCACAAATGAGCTCAAGAATAAACAACATGGAGAGGAAAAACTCTTTAATAAATAGTGGAGACAGAAGAGGTTATAACCCCAGTGCTAGTCTCCAAAATTTTAGACAGCAAGGATATGTTTTTCATTGAAGTCCAGGAGAAAGAAGTTAGTTTAATTCTAAAGCTGTTGTTAACCATTATTTTATGGCCCTGACAATAACATGTCACTGCATCACTCCAAACTCTCAGCTTCAAATATCTGTCCTTGCAAAACACTAACTTGCTGTTTCTCCAGGACATTTTTAATAACTTCCCCTCTCCTCTACTACAAAGGCAGGATTCTGTCACCTTCACGTTGAGCAGCTTTTTATTCCATTAAAATAGCAGTGCCCATCTGGAATCTAAAATAGAAAGATTAAAAACGTGGACACATGGCATGTTTACACCGATGTAATTTTTCTTTACACAACTATAATCATGGAGGGGTCACAAAACGTACTCTCCTACTCCACTGTATGTCACTCCACTCTGGCATAAAGTTACCTCTTGGAAAGCGGGGAGAAACTACACACCCACATAAGTTACATTGATGCATGTCTTGTGCATCCACAG